CGCTTCTCGGAAACTTTTTGCCAGTCATCCCATATCCTTATTTCCTATTTTTTCCACTTTCATTAGCGCTTTTGTGCGATTCGCGCCCGGTCTAACGATATCGATTATGGTTTTTGGCAACTTAATTTCAGTAAAGTGAGTGATCACTCGAGACGGACGATATGCGTGTGTGTGCATTAAAACTATCACAGATTATCACCCGATATATACATATTGTGGAGTGACAGCCCCTCTATAGACCCGAATTCGCGACAAATTTGGTCTATATTACAATGAACAGCATTATTTTAAGAACAAAACTTCTATCGGCTATCGATCGGAATGGCGACTGAGTAGCAGTTCTGGGGGTGTTTCAACTGTCAATTTCGGTATTTGAGTTCGGTAACGGAATTCCATCAGGCCACACCTACCCAACCCCTTCTCAGTTTCTTATCGCAGTGAGTAAATTACGGTCGGAGCAAACACATGACCTCGTTTACTCAAACTCACACCCCGTTAATCGGCTTTCATGTCTCAATGCTAATTCGGGTCAAGATGAAACTGCATTTCCAGTGTACCAACTAGAAAAGTTTGTTTTAGGGTACAGCGAAATAGTGTCTTATATTGCGGTCAGGTGCATGACACGCGAAGTGAGTGGTCCTAATCTGTGTAGGGCTATCAGCAGAGGCCTATTTTACGAAAGTGGTATAAGGATATCCCACCGTGGTGGGAAAACTGCTACGTATAACGCAACGATTTGTCTGAGTTTTCTGTCGTTCGTGAGGAAAAATATTTGTCCCATAACCAATCCGTTTCTCAAGCCGGTAAACACAATGTAGATTGATTAAGAACGTCAAGAGACTGCATTTCAAGACCTATGTGAAAAATTTCTTGATTTCGATATCTGTGTGTAAACTTATTCACGCAACCGGATCAAAGAATGCGTTAAACTGGACTCAGAGTTACGGATTGCGCAAATGTTGTCTGTCCATAACAAACGATCTTATGATCTCGGTGTCACATCCTCGTGTCCCAACTTCAAGACCTCAGAAAGAACGATTAGGTTTAGCACCACTCAAGCGATAAAATGGTTCAGTGATTCATAGTATCATTTACAAAATCTCGTCTGTCCGAGACAGCTATCCGAACGGAAGTCGAAAATCACAGAACTTCTGCTCAACTTTGAGTTAATCACAAAGCCAAGAATCAACCATTTTTATCTACCTGTAATAAGTCCTGCGGGGATAGGGTATGAGGAGGAAGGACTATTTGATCAAACTTGAAGTTTTATCATGGAAAATACTTACAAACGACTGTCTTTCTTACCGCAAGGGGTTTAATACACATCTGAATCGATTGACCGATCAAAGAGGAATGAGAAATGTCGCCAAGTTTCACTGTTTCGTGTACTGCTGCTACAGGATGTCCATATTTAGGATATGATAGTGTCTGAAAGAATCAACTGAATGTGCAGAGACAATGTGAAGTAGTAGGGGATTTCACACAATCTTTGGAGACAGGAATGATGATGGCATTCTAGTCGACTATTTTGGAGCATTAACTTGGATGAATTACCCCCAGAGATGAGGGTTGGGCGACAAGGTGAACAGTGAACGACAAGTATGGTCAGCGTTCTGAATCATCTGATATAACAAAATGGAGCCGTTATTCCACTTAGAATGCAGTCCACTGACCACCTAAGTGGCCACTCTTTCTGGACGTTCGAAACACTTGCGGTGGTGTTGCAGCTATTAAATCCACACTTGAATGGCGTACTCCATGTGGGGTTGAAAGTAGACTGTGGGAACAGTATAGGTTCAAATTTGCCAGAGACTTGATTGTTAACAAGCCAATATGTCTTAGAGTTGCGAACAGCGCCCTGGAACAGTTCATTGAATAGCTTAGGTCGCTTGACAGCTGTTGGCATTCCAGGAAGTACGGGAACCGAGTTTTGTGACGGTGCATTCAATTTGATGTCACTCACGATCGACCCATGATAAGTGCCAGTGAATCCTCAGGTTTTGTCACTGTATACCTTTGCATTGTCTACAAACACGAACGTTTGTGATCCCAGAATCTCCGTTAAATCGTTCATGAAGTCTAGAAGGGTTGAGGGCCAAGCACGGACCTCTGTGGTACCACTAAAGCTACATAGGAAGGATCAGATAGCAAACTAGAAATCAGAACTGACATGGTGCACTGTCGATTAAATTCTTTTATCCAACGCAGTACAGGTTCCCAAACTCCATAACTTTTCTTTATCTTTTTCATTTTACTTTCTTTTATTGAACAAAATAAGATACAATTTTCAGGAAGGGGGAAGCGGCGTGGGTTCGATGGAGGGAACGTGTAAGCAACTCTGAGGTAAGGCGTCGCGTATTTGGTAATGAATCGATGGACAATTGGTTGTCCCATCGAATTCAGATTAGTCGGCTTCGCTGGCTAGGACAAGTATTGCGCATGCCCAGCCATCGTCTGCCGCACCGCGCCCTATTCACATTTGCGGCACCAGGTTGGAAGAAACCGCGTGGAGGTCAACAGATGACGTGGAAACGAGGCATGAAAAAATGCACAGAGCAATTAGGAAGAATCGGTGTCTCTCGTCTTCCAGGTTGGGGTCTGAAAGACTCTGCAACTGGCGGGTTGGAGACAATGAAGGATATGGCGACTAGCCGACAACAGTGGCGTTCTTGTTGTCATTTCTTATCAGGTCCGAAGGCTTGAAAAGGTATATATGTATACTTAGATCTTGTACTCTGTGTGTTGACCATAGAGGTTCACTTTCTTTGCCCCCCCTTCAAGTAGGCCCCATCCCAAACCTGTGTTTTATCATTTGGGCTTGGCAGCGATCAGTGAAGTTCGTTTTACTGTATTTCGCTGTACGATGATGATGATGAGTGGTACACGACCGTCTACGACGAACCCAATGTTTCAACGGGGATAACTGGTTGTATTACCGCATTATCTGCTAAAATGGATTACATCACTTTGGATAACACTGAGAGGGCGATAATTGGTCGGGTCACTACGACGTCCACCTTCATTATTGGGCGAGATCATTTCTTGTTTTCGGGCTTGTGGAAGCACAGTATTGTCGAACATACTTTGGAATAGTCCAATTAATGGCTGAGCTGTGTTAAATCCCGGAGTGATCGAGGTTTGTAAACAGATGCTTTTTATCCCAGAAGATGAATTCTTTTACAAACACAACATTTTCGATGTTATGATTGTGGCCAGCGTTGGATGTGACATTTCCTTCAGTAACAAAGGCCATCATAGCCTGGTGTCCACAGTGACATTTGAGCGTATTGGCTTTTTTTGACAGTTTCATCCTTCGTCCTTCGTTGTGACTGAGGCACTTCCTGACAAACGTAGTGCTGGAATGTCAGACTTGACTTTTCCCCAGGCATTGATGTACTTGTAAAACCGCTTTGCATGGGATAAAAACTTACGCGTCTGTACCTCTCGGAACACCAACTTGTCTTCCTTCTCACATCAGCTTGACGCAGTAGAATACAGGTATCCCATCTGTTCTCAT